ATCTATAACTAAATTTACTTTTAGGTTGTGCTTCAAATTTGGTACACATCACAATCAATACATTTCTGAGGAAAAGGAGTGAAAAATCATACCACTTAGAAATGTCAGTGTTTTTATTTCTAATTGCCAGAGATGCAAACCTAAGGCAGATGTGTAATTTGAGATATTTGTGAAACAATGATGGTTAAGCATAAAAACATTAAAAAAAAGTCATACCAAGGATGCAAAACAAGCCACCCTTCAAAACTAGCCAAACAATCTCATCACATTTAAATACTGCCATTTAAATTTACTAGCTAAAAGCCTGAAATTAATCTGAGATGTGATGCATTAATGATTGAATTCTGGTGGAGGTTAGCTTTCAAATAAACTGGCACTCAGAACTCTATGAGAGAAATCAGAAGTGATGAAACTGATTGTGTTTCAGATGAAGTGGTAAAATTTTAGTTTTAAACAAAGAGAAATAGGAAGTTTCAGGCGGAAGCGTGTTCGCATCACTGCCCTACATGGAGAGGTTTTGAGCTGGAGAGGAGCTTCGGATCTAAGAATATTCTGATGGTGTTGGCGAGGCTGGAAAGGGGAGATGCTCGAGGCAAGAGGGCGAGGCAGAGCTGTCAAGGTTGGGGTGTGGGTGGTAGCAAGGACGCATAGGGAAAGACATGGAAACTGTTGGGTGGGCTTGTTGACAAGGCTTGGGGTCTGCTCGGATGTGGGAGACTCAGGAGGGACAGGGGTTCCAGTGACAGCATTAAGACTTTCCAGATGGTTTTCAGAGCAGCTGAAAGGAACAAGCTGACATAAATGTCCTACTTTCAGGCCAACTGTGAAATAGGTCCTAACCTCCAGCAAAGCCTTCAGAAGCCATAACCTGTCCTTCTCTAAAAAATTCTCTTCTACCTTAGAAGAGAAGAAGAAAAGTCACTCAGTCGTGTCCGACTCTTTGCGACCCCGTGGACTGTGGCCCACCAGGCTCCTCAGTCCATGGGATTTTCCAGGCATGAATACTGGAGTGGGTTGCCATTTCCTTCTCTAGGGGATCTTCCCGACCCAGGGATTGAACCCTGGTCTCCCACATTGCGGGCAGACACTTTACCATCCAAGCTACCAGGGAAACTCTTCTACCTTAGGCTCTTGAGAAAAGAGCCCTGGTTTAGCACTCATTGTGACTTTAATTTGGAGAAAATATAGTTTTATCACAAGAATTCTTAAGTGGAGAAATATCATCTTTTTCATAGCATTTTTGCCATGATTTCCCTTCTCTACCTTTTAATGAAGGGAATGGCTTCTAATTTCCTATGTGAAAACTTGGGATAACAACCCCTGCCCCAAAGTGCGACCCTCAGGCTTCTGAGAGATAATCATGCATGTGCCATGCACGCACTGTTTAGAAGCAGGGTATTAAGGTTTCTCTACCCATCAGATACTTTCTGTGTAATGCCTGCAGGTAATAAGAAGGACAGTGGTGGAAGTTACTGGGGAATCGATTTTGCCCCAGGGTAAAGACAAAACTTCTGGGATCCAGAAATTTCAAAACTTGAAACAGCTACCTAGAGAGAGAGAAAGAGAGAGAGCCACATGCCCTGAGGGTGTTCTAGCCAAGCACTGTGGCAGAAAACAGAGTTTCCATCAAATCATGACGCATAGGATAGATGATGGTCTTATTCATCTTCATGGGTTTACCAAACCAAGTTTATATATAGTTATCTGTCTCTCCATTCCTTCTGGTAAAGAGAGCACAGCAAAACTCTCAGTGGATGAGAATGTTGATAATTTAGCTTTCAGAGTAACAGGTTAACATTTGTTAGCTATTTATCGTTGGCTGGACATAATAGGTGCTTTATGTGCCCTCACGTTCAACCTGCGGGAGTATGCTGTGAAACCAGGCTTCTGACTAATTTGAAATAGGCTCACAGCACTGGAACCCCCGCCTATGACTTCTCAGCGAGCAAGTGAGGAAGCCAGGATGGACACATGTGTTTGCTCACCTCAAAGTGGTGTTTGCTGAGACGGAGGAGGAGGGAGAGGGGAGGAGCCCAGGCAAGGTGGGGGAGAAAGCAGTCACAGATATTAGCAGAGCCCCTAAATATCATCAGGCACAAGTCATTTGGATGCACACCACGAATGAAAAAGCACAAGATAGAGACACACTCTTCACAGTCTCACGCTTTTCTACCCAAGTGCACCATCTGCTTCAGACAGTGACCATATGCCCCCAGTAGCTGGGAGGTAGCCTGTAGAAATTTTTTTTTTAAATTTTATTCCCTAATTGGGCCATACTTGTTTAATGTAAAACATACCTCCATATTTTTTATTTTTACTTTTTTTAATTTTTTTGATTAGGCTGTGTCGAGCCTTAGCTGTGGCATGCCGGATCTTTGCCCTAACCCTAACCCTAACCCATCATGTGGAATCTTTTGTTTGTAGCGCATGCACTTTCTAGTTGTGCTGAGTGGGCTTCAAAGTGCACAGGATCAGTAGTTGCTGTGCGTGAACCTAGGTGCCCTGGGGCCTGTGGGAGCTTAGTTCCCTGACCAGGGATCAAACCCACGTCCTTGGTATTGCAAGGCGGATTCTTAGCCACTGGACCTCCAGGAAGTCCCAGCTTCCATATTTCAAAGCAAAATAAATGTACAATAGAATGCATGTCATCTTTATCTCGGGCCTTCATGCATCTCCTAGGAAAGCCATTCTTTCTCCTGCCCCAATATTCCAGTTTCAGAAGCACCATCTGAAAATGTATACATTCACTGGTCTAGAGGTGGTTCAAATATCCAATGAACTTTTATAAAAGCCTCTAATTATATCAACAAATTAGCATTCCAGAGGTTTACAAGGCAACCGCTATTCATACAGTTATAATATCTCAAGATTTTTATGCATTTTGCCTACTTAGTTTTCATTGGCAGAGCGCGGCTGGAATCTCCAGGGACTTCTGGTCTACCCTCAATATTCTTAACCTGCTCCAGCAGTGCTAAAACAAGCTCTCTCCTGGGTCGTAAGTCCAGCATTCTCAGAAGGGTTGTGTTCTTCGGCAGCCTCCTTCAGTGCTCACAAACTCTAGCTCCTCATTGTGTTGAGAGTCAGGAGATACTGTCTGTTGTCGCTGCACCTGTTATCTTATTGGCCTTATCCAAACAGCCCCAGCCCGAGCAGCAGCTGAAACAACAGATGGGCAAGAGGACTTGAGATTTTTTGACACCATCCTTTTGTTTATGAATCCCCCCTCACCCCAACTCTGGAATCTGATAGGAATTCTCTTCATTACCATTTTGTGCTTTCTTTTTTCCCATGACACATTTTTATTATTAAAAAGTAATTAATTGGTGCAGAGGGAGATGAAAGAGAAGAATAACATTTCTCTTTGAAAATGGTTAGAAAGGAAATGGGGGTGGTGATTTGGTCATGTGGATAAATATATCTTTGCCCTGGAAGATAATTGCCAGTATCCAGGTTCCTTCCATGGCAGGGAATTCAAGTAAGGAGCTGAGAAGAGATAAGAAGGGGAGGAAGGTGATCTGGTATAAGGTTGAGTGCCAGGAAAGTGGAATAGGCATTGCTCTGGGGGGTCTTGAGAGCAGAGGAGAGATGCAATCTAGGTAAACTGGAAATCTAGCAGGAACCAAAGGCTGGAATTGCAATTGCAGGACAAGATTTCCCTTTGCAAGGAGTGAAATTGTTCAAGCAGACCTGAACTAGGAATTAGGGAGGCAGAGTGCAGGATATAATTTAATGCCATATGGTTGTAAGCACATTGCTTAATCTCCTTATGCCTCAGATTCATCATCTGTAAAATAAACATGAAACTAGTAGTATGCATGTAGTGTTGTTTTGATTCTCAAATGAGAAAACACACAGAAAGTGCTTAGCCCCAGGCTGGACATTCATTTAATAGCTGCTGCTATTATTATTATTTTAGTCAAGAGTGAGAGGCACAGTGCAGAGCAAGTGGCAGGGAGACGGATCGTCACTGGATGTGAACCGTAGGAAAGCACTTCTTGCTTATGTGGGGTTTCCACTCACATCTTAGGATGAGGGCAATAGAGCAGTGCCCACAGAACCCGCGTGGCGCTTTCCCACCTCTGCGCTTTTACTCATGCCGTTTATTTTTCCTAGATGGCATTCTCCAAGACATCTTCATTGTGGGCCATATACCATCTAATTCTTATCCACCAGGGTTATCCTAAAGATTAAACTAAAAATAAAAAGTGCTCAGTCGTTCAGTCGTGTCCAACTCTTGGCGGCCCCGCGGACTGTAGCCCCCCAGGCTCTTCTGTTGATGGAATTTTCCAGGCAAGGGTACGGGAGTAGTTGCCACTTTCTACTCCAGCCAGGGATCGAACTCACATCTTTCGTGTCTCCTGCATTGGCAGGCAGATTCTTTACTGTTAGCGCCACCTGGTAATATTCGTGGTCGTATGTCAGTTGTTGCCTCATTTTAGTATAGCCCATCATAAGTGGGAGAGTGGCTTAATCACGGTAGACATGAAAAATTACTGGATAACTAACTTATGTGTGGATTCTAACATGTGACACAAATGAACATATCAAGAAAACAGAAAGAGCTTCATAGACATAGGGAACGTTCTTGTGGTCGCCAAAGGAGAGTGGGATGGGGGAGGGAAGGTTTGCAAACTTGGGACTATCAGATGCCAACTAGTGTGTATAGGATGAATGAACACCAAGGTCCTACTATATAGCACAGGGAGCTATATTCAATCTCCTGTAACAAACCATAACAGAAAAGAATATGAAAAGAATGTGTGTCTGTGTACAAAGGAGTCACTTTTGCTCTACAGCAGAAATTAATATAACATTGTAAATCAACTATGCTTCAATAAAATTTCTAAAAAACAAATAACAATTATTGAATAATTAAATATGTGGGTTGTATCAGAAGCAAGCCAGACTAGTAGAAATGTACTCAAGAGGGTCCATTTTGTCTGTCCCCAGCCTTGCATCTGTATAGTTAATAGTCTTCCTTATGTTTTTATGTTTTCCAGAGATGTCCGTCTTGGCAGTATGTACCAGTATTGGGTCATCGCTATTTCAGGAAATGAAGAGAGTGAGCCGTCACCTGCTGCCACATACATCCACGGAAGTGGGTACTGTGGTGATGGCATCATTCAGAGGTAAGTAGGTGTAGCTACAAACTCGGTGGGAGGCAGTGCTAATTAGGCCAGAAGGTGGTCAGGGTGCCAAAGAGAAGCGCTTATGGGCTCCCCTTCAGGGTGTGAGCTGTGAGGGGAGCCCCAGCAATCTGCAAGTCGATTTGTCTGCAAGTAGTTGGCAGGCCTCAGAAGAAAAGCTGTGACTCTTTTTTTGAGCAAACAAGTTTCTCAAATGTATAATAATATAAGATTTCCACAGGGCCACCATTCTGCACTGACTACCACGGTGCTGTTGTTCCTCATTGTTTCCTATGTGCCACAAAGATTCTATTAGTTTTTTCCACCTCAGTCCACATTCAGTTAACAGGACATGGGGCACCTACGTGAGAACACTTTCACATTCTTTGCTGGTTACCGTTTACACTTATTAAAACTGAAAGTGTATTTATTATTTCTATTGTGTTATGTCAACAGTTTACAAAACGGGTCAGTCTCATAGAAACAGCAAAATATTTCAACTCTTCTGTAATGTTGAAACCATAAATAGTAAGCAGTCCTCTAGAGTGAACATTGAATATGACTATTAAGTACAGGAGGCAAATGAATCGGTAAGTGTAAAGATTCCACATGAGCAGCCAAAAGAAAGGATAAGTGTGATTAGAAGATACAAAGCTGTGTGTCTAGAAAATGGATTTTATCGGATCATCAGTCCATTCATCCCCGGTCCACAGGGCAAGATGTTACGCAACTGAGCAATAGTGGCGAGAAGCCATCAAGACTTTTGCATTGTTGAAAAAAAAAAGGAAATCTTTGGTTTTTTTTTTCCCTCCAGAGTAAGCATAAAAATGGCTTGTCACTCAGTTAAATAGTTTTGGCCCTCAAGATGAAAAAGAGACCAAGGATCATTCACAAACTCCTTATTGCTAAGTCTGTGTTCTTTCTTGCAATCACAGTTGCAGATCACATTATTGCTAAGGGACTTTTAAAACTATTGGCAGATTTAATAATAAACGTTACATATGGAGATGACACAGCATGCTATTGGCAAAATTCCATCATTAAATGGCACCATTGGGTGTCGCAGAGTATCTGTACACCATGGGATTGCAATCACTATTTCTGTAGGGGGAGGGGCACTTGAAAGGGAATTTGCTTCCCTGATGTGCAGAACATGAATCAGTTCATAGGTGTAATTCCTATAATGAAAGCAAAGGGCTCACTGACTCTTTCCTTGGTTTATCATTGACACTCGTGCTAGAGGTCAAGAGCAATTTAACTGGATGCTGTTGATTTTGTGGTGTGTAATATGCACGGGAAAGCTGCTGTGGAATGAAAGGACCAGCTAGGAGCACAGCAAGGATGATGCAGCGATGCAGAGAAAGAGTGTGTCCATGAATACACGTTTGAACAGACACCCACTATTGGCCAGCAGTCTGCCTTCTGACCATGGCTTAGCGCTGAAGGGAAAAGCAGATGTCGAGAGTATGATCGGATGCCGGCCAGTGAGCCACATCTGCACAACTTATTGTGCTAAAGGATAGCAGCATGTGCAAGACACTGCTCCCCCAAACACCCTGAAATAAACCAGCTGCTACAAGCAGGGTACTAAGTCAAGGTTTTGAAATAATGAATGACTTTTTTTGTTTTTTCTTTACTGTTAACACTGATAAAGACCAGTATTGAATATTTGTGCAATTTCAAGTGATTTGCTGAAGTAATGTAGCTCAGGTATATATATATATATATATATGTATCCATGTCTTAAACGTCCTGCACCTATAATTTCAAAGCTGAATTATCTAGATTTCAATACGGAGGGTGGTAATAATAAGGATTTTTAAGTGTTGAATTATGATGCAAACCACCTGATTGCCAAGAAGTTGACTCCTCAAGCATACAAAATAAAACTCCACACTTGTCAGAGATTGACATTGATGGTATGCTATTGCCTACATTTAAGATCCTCATCCAGGTGCAACAATCCAACATGAACATATGGTTTCAGGTGCTTAATGTAACAAAATTGGGCAAAGGGAAGATACTGTTTCCTTCCACATGAAGACATCTACTTCTAGCTTTTGATACAGCTGTTGTCTGATAGAACCGTGAGCAAGTGAACAAGATCATCTCCAGGGAAAGTGCTGCATCTTTTATGGGTCCAAGATTAAGCTACATATCCAGAACATCCAAGAAACAGTCATGGTCATTGCTGACAACCCATAATTGTGACTTGGGATTTTTTAATTTAGCAAGAGGAATCAAAAAGAAACTCACTATGTGTAGGAACTGGTCTACAATTCTGTCTATCCATTTTGGAATCAGATATAGATAGAGCTTCCTTGATGGCTCAGGTGGTCAAGAATCTGCCCACAGTGCATGAGACCTGAGTTCAATCCCTGGGTCGGGAAGATCCCCTGGAATAGGAAATGGCAACCTACTCACTATTCTTGCTTGGAGAATCCCATTGACAGAGGAGTCTGGCAAGCTACAGTCCATGGGATCTCAAAGAGTCAGACAGACTGAATGACTAACACTTTTACTTTTCAGAGATATACTGTTAAAACCCTGCAAGCAATATCATCACTGACCTAAAACTGCTGGTAGTAGTAATAATTTAAATATCATTCTGAGCAAGGTTTTTTAGTATTTTATACCTAGGATTAATAACCTTCATAGATGTCAAATAGGTTTTGAATTACCTGCAGGTACCAAACAGTTGCATTCAGTTTTCTACTAACTATGTCAACAACTGTTTGGTACGTAACCTAAGCAAAAAAAAAAAAACAACTTTGAGGGTGAGAAGGGCTGTCATCTTCACTAACTGGATTTTTCATGGGATGATACATGCTAATTTGCTATATATATGCAAAGGAATTTATGAAGAAATACAGATAGACTCAACACTCAGTGAGGTCCCTGATGAAAAAAAAGCACTGGATGACTGTTATAATGATAATTATAAATATTTATTGAGACTCTACTAGGCAGGAGGCACTGTGCTACCCTATAATACCCTTGGGTACTTCCAACAACCATGTGAGATAGGCCTTATCACCTTACTTCACGAAAGAGACACCTTGCCCCCAAAGATTAAAACGGTTTTCTGAAGCTTACATACTCAGTAAGGAGCAGAACCAAGATGTAGGCCTAGGACCCACATTATTATCTGGATTTACCATTGCCTTGCCGTGACTGATGGTGCTGCAGAACTAACAAGTGAAGGGATAGCTCCGTGCTATTTCCTCTTTCCCAGACACTGTGCCAGGCGTCAGGGTGCTAGGATGACAAAGACTCTGTCACATCCTTTGACTTCCTAAAGCCTAGGGCAGGGTGCTCTCAAGTAACAGGCAAAAGTGGTTGATCTGACAAGTGCTGTGATAGATGGAGCCCCTCATCTCTGGACTCAGAGAAGATGGCCACCCACTCTAGCCTGGGAGGTCAAAGAAGGTTTCTCAGAGCTTGTCTATCTAATGATAGATCCGGCATGCCTAGAAGGTATTTGTGGTGACCCTAATGTTTTGCTTAAACCAATAGAACATACTGTTTGGGTGGTGAGGAAAGGAGGGTTAGAAGTGTTCTTTGTGGCTTAGGGAAAACAGCCCAGGTTAAAAAAAAAAATCTCTCCCCAGATAACCTATGGAAGAGTTAAGAATCACAAGGCCATCATTGATTTCCAGTGTGTAAGATTTGCTTGAATACGGGCCCAGCTTGGAATATAGAATTCCTTGCTAATGGCTTTGCAAGCTGGAGAGAAGTGGGGGGCTCTTCAAAGATCAATGCAATGTCCTAGTCGTCGTAAGCACTGATTACAAGGCCCCATACTGGTACTCTGACACTTCCTAAAAGCAACAAATGTTTCCCCGTGTTAATTGCCGGGGTGAAAGGCAAAGTCTGAGGCCCCTCCCAGGCCGGACTCCCAGCCGGTCTCTGGGGAAAGAGGGACAACTGCCACAGCCTCTACGGAGACCTCCCAGGACAGGTGGGTGGGCGTGGGGACTGTGACGGGCTGTCGGCTGTGTGCGGCAAGCCTGGCCCGCCGCCTCAAGTTGCCTTCCACGTTTGCGCCGACACTAAGGAGCAGGTGTAACTATCTCCACTTTAACCCCCGAGAAAACAGACTCAACACCAGAAGAGCACCGTTCAGGGGGTTTTCCTATAATAGTGGAAGTAGATTCTGTGCTCTCTGATCCGGCTGCCACTCGCTCCATCCAGCTATTGAGGACTTGAAATGTGCTTACCGTGGCTAAACAGTGGAAAGTTGGTTTTCAGTTTTTGTTGATGTAAATTGTCAAAGATAAAAAGATCAGAGAGAGATTAACCAGTGGTCCCCCACCTTTTTGGCACTAGGGGCAGGTTTAATGGAAGACACTTTTTCCATGGACTGGCAAGATGGGAGATGGTTTAGGGATAACTCAAGCTCATTACATTTATTGTGTGCTTTATTTCTATTGTTATTGCATCAACTCCTTCTCAGATCATCAGGCATTAGGTGCCAGAGGTTGGCGAGCCCTACTAAGTTACTTGTCCAAAATCACACAATTAGTTGGGAGCACGGGGCTCTAAACCCAAGTTTCTGTGACTAAAGGGATGGGAATTTTCCAGAAAGTGGTAACACATCCAGTCTTTCAGTTGTTAATCCTCTTTCTCTTCTAGATCCGATTCAGAGAGTGTGGCTCATTTTCTGCCCATCCTAATGACTGCAAAATCATCCTTCAGTGATGGAAATAATTCCTTAAAAAGTAGGGGGAGGCGTTTTTATTTCCTAGCAGTGTAGGTCCCAGGCCTTAGAGTTCTTATTACCATGAAATGACACAGCCAACAGAGAAGGCGGTGTTCTCTGATCTAGTAAAGATCAGATACCTGAATTTATGTAGGAGACAAAACTGCCTTTATGTGCACTGGGGTTATGACAGAAGGGCCAGAGCAGGGCACAGTGAAGAACAGCATTTATACCTTGCTGCTACTGCTGCTAAGACACTTCAGTTGTGTCCGACTCTGTGCGACCCCATCCCTGGGATTCTCCAGGCAAGGACACTGGAGTGGGTTGCCATTTCCTTCTCCAATGCATGAAAGTGAAAAGTGAAAGTGAAGTTGCTCAGTCATGTCTAACTCGTCTCGACCCCATGGACTGCAGCCTACCAGGCTCCTCCGTCCATAGGATTTTCTAGGCAAGAGTACTGGAGTGGGGTGCCATTGCCTTAGAAACCCCAAAACTCCCTTCAGTCCCCCATCTTAGAGTGGAAGTGCGATTTCCCAGACACAGTAGCAAAGTCTGGTTCATTGATTCATCCTCTTCTTCCTCCCCTCTGACTTACCAACTTAACAGAGGAGATCTCAGCGAATGAGTCTGAAGCAGGAATGCTACTTTGTCATCAGAAACACCCAGTAAGACAAACATAAGGACCTCACAAATTTACCTTGCACGCACCTCATTTGGAAGAAACAGAAACTCAGACAGGGGAAGAAGGGACTTGCCCGAGACCTAACCAAAACGTTCCTAGCCCCCAGCAAGCTTTTCCATGTCTGGTTGGGCTTCTGAAGCTGATGTGACAAATTTTCCTTCCGTATCCGTTCTGCAGAAGCCAAGGTGAAGAGTGTGACGACATGAACAAGATCAGTGGGGATGGCTGCTCCCTCTTCTGTCGGCAGGAAGTCTCCTTCAACTGTGTTGGTAAGTCTGCCCTTTCTCTGGGCCTCGCTGGAGAAGTGGACGGTGCCAGATGGCTGGTCAGTTAGAAGAATAGCAATGGTTATAACTAAATGATGATTCACTCCTTTCTATCACACGTATGCATTGAGTGCCTCCTGGGAGCCAGACACTGTTTTAGGCACTAGTGAACACAGCCAAGGAAACAGACAGACAGAGGTCAGGCATTCTGCCCTCCTGGAGGGTACGTTCTCATAGGTGACGGTGCTAATGGATAACCCTTCTGATCTAGCTTCATCTTACACTGACTGCTCTTCTTCATGCCAACCGTCTGGGATGGCTATTATTTGTGTAGATGTTTAAGGCTTTTATTCTTCCTTTAGAGATGAGAAAAACACAGAAGCCAGAGAGCTTGTGAAACGCGTCCAGAGTCACATAGGTTAGGCTTGAAGACAGAACCAGGACTTGGACCTGATCTTGTCTGATTCTTGCACACAAGCTCAGTTCATTTTCCTCCACGGCCTCCAGCCAGGATCCAGGCTCTCTGACTTGAGGAAGAGGAATCGCAGACCAGCCCATGTTTAGAAAGCAAATGTCCTTTTCCCACCTTCACGGAGTCAGATGGGAAATTTGTTTTCCTCCGCCTTCTCCAGGAGTCTGGTTGGTCATGTTGTTTTAGCCCCACTTGGGAGGCCCCTGGTCAGCCTGGGGGTGGGGGGCTGGTAAACAGACAAGGGTTGGGGGGCAGGGATGGAATTTTGAGCTGGCCCAGATGAGATCATGCTTCCTTTAAGATGCAAATCGATACCTGAAGATCAAAGGTCCCCTGGCTAATCCCCAGGGCTGGAGGTGAAAACTAATCACAATTCATTTGCAAGTACAAAAGACAGAGGTGCTCCATCTAAGGAAAGGAGGAAGGCCTCGGTGGGAAGATTTCTCTCTGAAAGGCAGTTTTCTTGGAGGACTGGAGGGGAGGAAATGTCATTGGTTCTTCTCTTTGCAGCACCTCACAGGCAGCTTTTAGACCTGCTTTTAGACCTTCCTTCTCCTGGCATGCTGTGACCTCTTTACCACGTATCATTTACGGTGTATTCCATTCTCAAACACGTTTATTGACCACTTACTTTCTCCTTGGCACCAAGTGAGGGCTGAGCAACACAATAGAGGCGCCCCACACCTGTTCGTAGATGGAAGAAAAGGAAGATACGGAGGGGGGAAGGACAGCAGAGGTTCCAGGCAGGGACTTCGGTTTTTAAAGTGCAGATTTTTTTCCCTCTCTCTCTGTTGATTTGAGTATGATTCATAATAAAATCTTGATATGAACCTAGTGGTCTGGTAGAAAGAGCCTTGGATTAAATGTCAGAAAACCAGGCACTCTGGTCCCAGCTATGCTGAGAACATGTTAGTTGAAACTGGCCAAGTCACCTCCCTAGTCTGGACTTCTGACTGACCTCCCATAAATTGAAAGGATTATATTAGGTGCTCTCTAAAAGCCTTACCTGCACTTCTGCTGTGTGGTTTCCAAAGTGTGTGACTATTTCTCATAATCGTGAGCTCTGCTCGAACCATCTCTCACCGTGGACATCATCCTCATGACACCCAAGAGTACACTCAGATCCTGCTGGATGATGTCCACCCATTTTACTAGCATTAAGATGGCGTGTGGCTCAAGGGCTTCTGGCCAGAGTTAGACTGTGGTGAAGTTAGGATGGTAGGGTCTGTGGAACAGGTCTGCAAGTTACAGTCCATGAGCTGGAACTGGTCTACCGCCTATATTTGTAACTAAAGTTTTCCAGAATGTACCAGGGGCCTCCGTGGTGGCTCAGACCATAAAGAGTCCTCCTGCAACGAGGGAGACCAGAGTTCGATCCCTGGGTTGGGTAGATCCCCTGGAGAAGGAAATGGCAACCCACTCCAGTATCCTTGCCTGGAGAATCCCATGGACAGAGGAGCCTGGCAGGCTACAACAGTCCTTGGGGTCGCAAAGAGTCGGACACGACTGAGCGAATAACCCAGAATGCAATAATACAGAACAATACAGGATGCTCAGCGATGTCCTTGTGACCCCATAGACTGTAGCCCGCCAGCCTCCTCTGTCCATGGAATTCTCTAGACAAGAATACTAGAGTGGGTTGCCGTACCCTCCTCCAGGGGATCTTCCAGACCCGGGGATCAAACCCGGGTCTCTTGCATCTCCTGCATCGGTAGATGGATTCTGCACCACCTGGGAAGTGCTAGAACACAGTCCCCGTCCTTCATCATCTGTGGCTGCTTTTTTGCCGCGACCATAAAGCTGAGTGGATGCAACAGGGACCCCAGGGGCTGCAGAGCCTAAAATATTTATTTGGCTCATTACAGATGACATTTCTTGGTCCACAGATTTTGGGTCTCTGATATTATTGGTTGCTAGGGACTAGTGCAAAGAGGAGATGAACATTATGGCATGGTTCGCCACTTCTTAGAAAAAATAACTGCATTTTATACCTACAGTAGTGGGGCCTGGGAGACTCAGAGTCGGGTCCTCTCTTCTTTACCTCTAGAGGCATTGCTTCCCCACCTACACTTTGGCCCAAGTAATTGGAATAGATCCTGATTTTCAAGCTGTGTTCACTGAAATGCTTAAGAGGGGGAAAAGAGAAGATGAGGACATTACCAAGAGGATGAGACTTGGAACCTCAGGATCTACTTTATATTGTTATTTTTTAAGAATTTATTTATTTATCTTTTTATGGTCTCACTAGGCCTTTGTTGCTGCGTGCAGACGTTTTCTGTTTGTGGCGAGCGGGGGCTCCTCATGACGGTGGCCTCTCTTGTTGCAGAGCACAGGCTCCAAGCACGCAGGCTTCAGGCAGCACATGGACTCAGTAGTTGTGGCTCATGGGCTTAGTTGCCCCCTGGCATGTGGAATCTTCCCGGACCAAGGGAAACCATGTCCCCTGCATTGGTAGATGGATTCTTAGCCACTGTGCCACCAGAGAAGGCTCTCGACCTACTTCCCATACGATTATTCCCCAGTAGATCCTAAATGTTCTGCCGTTGCTGATGACATGTATTGAGCACCTATCATATGCCGGACACATTTCTAAAGTGTCATTCTCCTAAGAACTCTTTCAGTACCCTTCATTTACAAACCAGGATGCTGAGGCGTGGGGAGGTGAACTAAGGATATGCAGTCAAGTGATAGAGCTGGGACTTTCACCCAGAGAGTCTGACTCTAGGGCTCATGGTGAGGAGCTTCCTGCAAAATATTTTTTTTACCAGACAGCTCTTGGTCTGGTAGAGCTTTGGGAGTGTGAGCAAGGAACATACTGCTATGGAACAGTTCACTTAATGAATTAATGGAATGGAATACAGAACTGTCAGTGGTGTGGACAGCATCCAGGGAAGGCTCTGCGTTCCCCCTGCCTGTTGACTGTGGTTGTGTTAGAGGAGGCACCTCAGTTAGTCACCCCCACCTCACCGTGTAGGAGTCCATCCTAGGCACTCCGAGGGACAGGACATTCCAGGAAGAAAGGAGTCTGTCCAGAGATCCCGGCGCCTAGAAACTACATTCCAAGAACAGACTCCATGGCTTTAGAGGAAGAAAAACATCTTCCTCTAAGAAGAATAACAGAAAAACAGACAGTGAATCTGTGGCTCCCAAAAGATCCAGCTCAGATGAGTCAGAGAAATGGGACTGGAATGTGGGAGGCGTTGCTGGGGTGGATGTTGTTCTCATCATGACACATGGCAAGACGCTGGTCAAGGTGGTAGCCAGGAGCACAGGCTTGAATGAGACTTGACTTGGGTTGACACCATGACTTAGACATGTGGTCTTGGCTGAGCTTCAGTGTTCTCATCCAGAAAATGGGAGCAGGCCTGGGACTTCATTGTGGAAGATGTTTACCAATATTTGTGGACACATTATTTCAATCCCTTTCCCAGATTCAGGAAAGAACTCTCCTTGTTGTAATAATAGTGAGGCAGAGCCCCGCCACAGGAGCTGGTAGTGCAGAGACTTCCCTGGCGGTCTAGTGGTTAAGACTCTGCATTCCAGTGCAGAGGGTGTGGGTCCAGTCCCTGCTGGAGAAGTTAAGATCCCACATGCCTAGTGGCAGGGAAACCAAAAGATGAAACAGAAGCAATATAGTAACACATTCAATAAAGGCGTAATAAAAAAGAAAAGAAGTTAGTAATGGCAGCACCTCTGAGCCCCAGTCCTCCTTGTAACTGAATGTGGGCATGTGACCTACCCTCTCCCCTGATCACCAATCAGACACATCAGCCCGAGGATGAATCAGAAGACATAGGGACTCTGATTCATCAAAGCAAACCCATTTGATGAAGATGATGGGAGTGGCCACAATCCCTGTGTTTCCACAGTACCGCTGACAGCACCCAGCAGTCGTGCGGAGAGGATTTTGTGCAGCCATAGCTCTGAGATGTCTTCGTAAAAACAGTCCTGGGGCTTCCTTGTGAGCTCAAAATCAGCCTTCAGAACACTCTCCAGCCCTCCCAGGGAGTCTTCCACCAGTACCCAGTATTCTTTGAATAGATACTTCTTGTTTGCTTGTTTTGCCTGACTTGGCCAAAGTTGGTTTCTGCTGATTGTCACTTAGAAGCCCTACTGAATGTTGTTGTCATCAGATGCGGTGAGGTCCAGCCCTGTTCCCAGCAAATTGAATGTGTTTGATGCACATTACCCAGTACTTCCCTCAGTGAGCATTGGGATGTGGGTGAACATCACATCCACCACATGTGGGTACTCACCAGGCAGCCTGCCCTATGTCATGCACCTTTGTTTAAGGTGAGCCTGTGGGAGGTCTCTTACATCCAGATGAGGGATCTGAGACCTACTAGGATGCCCAAAGGGGCTTCCCAGGTGGCGTCGTGGTAAAGAATCCACCTGCCCATGCGGGAGATGCAGGTTCGATCCCTGGATCGGGAAGATCTCCTGGAGTAGGAGATGGCCACCTGCTCCAGTGCTTTTGCCTGAGAAAAACCCATGGACAGAGGATCCTGGTGGACTGTAGTCCTTGGGGTTT